ATCTCTTGGATCGATATCCTGCCACGTAAAGACCTTGCGAATAGTAGGTGGAGTGCATATGATAAGAATTACATTTTCATTAGCAATGTGAAAGTCGCAAATTTAGGAATATAGACAAAACACAACGCACCAATCGACATCGCAGGGTAGTCACGCTATTATTCTCGACATGTTGCTTGTACCATTATCATTTATGGCAGTTTTGCCGTTTCAGGTTCAACCGCTTTCAAAAGTAGCCAGTGGTGAGCTGCTGCAGACCCTTGGTTTGGCACCAACTTCTGCTCCTTGACCGCTGAGAGCTGACTTGTGCATCGGTCTCCCATGGCGGCGCCTGCGACTACGGTTGGCTACAATATCGCCATAGCGGGACGAGCTCAGTGGTGAACGTGGTAGTACCCGCTCATTGAGGCCGCCCGAGATGGCAACCTTGCCGAAGTCCGTCGACTCTTAGGCATCAATTGCAATCTCAACGTCAAGAACGAGGTTGCTTGTAGCAGACGTATCGTGCACGCTTATCAACCTCCTTGGGTAGGAGGGAAGGACCGCACTCATGCTGGCCTCGGCCAACGGACATTTATATGTGGTTCAGTGCCTTGACGCCTACTCGGGCACTCTGGACCTCGTCGACAATGTGAGGTTCTCTGTTGCATCGGATGGTCTGCTGACAATCAGATTGTAGAATGGGCAAACAGCATTGATGCTGGCGTCTGTGAATGGACACGTGAACGTGGTGCAACGCCTGCTCCAGCGGTCGGCGAGCCCGGACCTGATTGATCTGGTTCGTCTATTGCAATGACCATGTTGTTGACAGTCGACCTTTCTGTAGAGCGGCAGCACGGCATTGATGCTGGCGATAACAAACGGCCAAGCTAGCGTGATTCAAAGTCTCATCAACCGGTCGATCCCTGATGTCCTCTATCCAGTACAAAATCCTCTTCAGTGGTGTAGTACACGTCTTGCTTATTTGCATCGTGATGGTAGGATTGCAAGACGGTGCTCATGATGGCGATATCATGTGGACTCGTCGATGTGGCCGCCCAACTCGTACAAAAATCGCGCAATGTGAACGCAGTCGACCGAGTGCGCTGCGCCGAAAGAGTAGACGGCTTATTGACAAGAATCGTGTGTAGGATGGCAAGACAGCGTTGATGCTTGCGTCCGCCAAAGGCTACGAAAAAGTGGTGCAGCAATTTATGAACCGATCGAATCGCGACCTTGACCCTGCCGCGCTCGACCTCGTCGATCCCGTACATGACACTGCACTGCGTGCTGCGCTTATGCTAATTTTTGTGTAGGACGACAACACAGCGTTGATCCTGGCCATTCAAAACGGGCACGACGCGGTGGCTCAGTATTTGATTACCCAAGGAGCCAACATCAATCTCACGGATAAAGTACGTCCAATATCTCATAGTGTCACGTTGCCTAACGTCTCTATTTCGTAGGACGGCAGGACGGCGTTGATGAAGGCGTCGATGGCCGGAGACACGGGTATGATGACATCCATCCTCAAATTCGACAAAAGTGTGGACGTCGGGCTTGGAGACAAGGCAATCCGTATGACGAGGCCGCCTTACTCAAGCACGCGTGATTCTAGGACGGAAAGACAGCGCTGATGTTCGCAGCTGGAAATGGCCATGACGCGATCGTCCAGCACCTGCTGCGCTCACTTGCAGACGTGGATGCGACCGACAACGTAGCTCGAATGCAGTGTTGGCATTGTATACACGGCATTTTGTAGGACTACGTGACAGCGCTGATGATGGCGTCTGCCTGTGGCCAAAACGCCGTAGTCAAGCGTCTATTGGTTGCCCAAGCGGCCTTGAACGCCACCGATAAGGTTCAACGCTCGCATCGACAGAATCGTTCAATGAGTTGATTTGCGTAGGATGGCAAGACCGCGCTGCTCCTGGCATCTACAAACGGGCACGAAGTCGCCGTCAAGCTGCTCATCAATGCCCAGGCTGACGTGAATCTCAGCGATCTCGTAATGCCTTTTGTGCCTGGGATGGCACAGAGCACATGTAAGCGCCTACGGTAGAACGGCAAGACGCCGTTGATGATGGCGGCCATGCACGGCCACGAAATTGCCGTCAAGTGGCTCCTCGATGCCGACACAAAAGTGAACCGCACCGACAGAGTATGCAACCTCGTCCAGTCATATTTCATTGTTTTACATTTCGAGCTCTCTCTGTTAGAGCGACACGACAGCGCTGATGCTGGCCAGCGCCAACGGTCACGATCGCGTCGTTCAACGCTTGCTTGCCGCCGGCGCCAACGTTGATCTTTGCGACAACGTACAGCTCGTCTGCGTATCGAATTACATTTGACGCATTGCTGTAGAATGGCGACACAGCACTCTTTCTAGCATCTCGTCAAGGACACAGTGCGATTGCGCAGCGACTTCAGAACGCTGGGGCCCAGATGAGCCCGACCCCCGCCGGGGCAGCAACCGCCGCCACGCCGCCAGAGGTGAATGAAGAATAAGCCATCGTCAAGCGGCATTCAAGACATATGTTTAGCATGGTCCTCCGTTGGACGACGCGTGGGCCTCGTCAAGTACGCTTGACTCTCCCGCGGGCCTCGTCGAGTACGACCCGCGGGCCTTGTCGAGTACGCTTGACTCTCCCGCCAATACAAGCCAGACGAGCGAAGTCAGCGAGGTAGAGACCTATCCTGTCTCGTACTCATTCATTCGACGCGATGCAGGAGCCTCCATCAACGCAATCAACCCTATGTTCCTCTTCGAACGACGAGGCTACAGCGCTCGGCAGCGCGAAGGAAGAAGATGCGATCACCGAGCTCCAAGCTCGCTTTGCATGGTTCGGAACGTCCGAGTCCGACCTGATGGACTTTTATATATAGTGAGCGCCCTCGTAGCGCACCAAACAAGAGCGCGACGCTCGAGAAGAAGAATGTTCTGCGCCACAAGGCACGGCAACCCAAGAAATAAATCCCACCCGGCACGAGCGCTCGTGTGATAGCTGCTTGGCATGCATACAGAACGATACACAATACTACCAGCCTCACCCACACGTAATTGGAAGACGTAATAATGCATTGGTTCCTTTGGTCTTTCCCGCGCCGGCTGAAACATATGGCTGGGAGATTGTGCGAGGAGGACTCTGCTACATATCTTGTGGACTTGAGACACTGCTATCTTGTGGACATACGTAGCGAGCGACGAGATCGTTCAATTGCTCTTCGAGTTTGTTTGTCTGCAAGCGCAGAGCAGAGCGATGGTTGGGTAGCATGTACGAATCGAATCATATGAGACGGCGTCGGGAGCATATAAAAGGGCAACTCGCTTGTCCGACATTGCGGCCACGTCGCGCAAGATCGTCATGTGGATGTGACGGTAGGCAACGCTTTCAAAATGATGAATTGCTTCTTTTCTCGTGGTTGGTTTGACGCGACCGACCACCACACCGGCACGGTCCTGATGTGTGCTACAGATCTGCAGGCATTTTGGTTGGCTCACACGATGTAGCCATCGCGGTTTCACCACCACAAAGTTGCATTTGACTGGTGTCCCGACACCGCCACCGGTGTTCAGCAACCGTGCCAGAGTCCCAATGACGACGCCGATGACGACGGTGCGCTATGAGGCGTGTAGTACGTAACACGATGCGTAGCGTAGTACCCGCTCATTGAAGCCGCGGAAGATGGCAACCATGAAGAAGTGCGTCGGCTTTTGGCGAATGGCCACCAGGATGTCATTAATGCCAAGAACGAGGTCTGTTTGATTGTTGCACATATCCTACAAACTACTAACTTTGTAGAATGGCGTGACGGCACTGATGAAGGCGTCAACGCATGGACACGCGGATGTTGTCAAAATTCTGCTGCAGCATGCGAATGACCCCTTTCAGATGACGACGACACAGTACGTCAATGCCATCGATAACGTAGGTAATCTTGCAAAGTGCATCGAGCTGAGATGAAACTTTAGAATGGCACGACGGCATTGATGCTAGCGTCCATGAATGGCCACACAGCCGTGGCTCAGCTCCTACTTTATCGCTCGGGAAACCCTAACCTCCGTGATCGAGTTTGCACACTGCAATGAAAATCTGACAGCGATGGAAGACGTTTTCTGTAGGAGGGAAAAACACCGCTGATACAAGCGGTCGAAGGTGGTCACGAGGATACCGCCCAACTGCTCATTTGCAACAGTGCAGTCAGTACGAGCGACAACGTAGGTTCTAGTGCAATAGGATGCGACGCCAAAGCACTGCACTCAGACAAACTCCAACTCGATTCTTGTGTAGGAGTACACGACGGCGTTGATGTTGGCGTCGATGCACGGATACGATGCGATTGTCAAAGGCCTACTCATTGCCCAAGCCGCCGTGAACGTCACCGATAAGGTTCGGCGCTCGTAGGTACCATACAGTACAATCCATCGTGCTGTGAAGGATGGCAAGACAGCGCTTCTCATGGCGGCCACCAACGGGCACGAAATCGGTGTCAAGTGGCTCCTCGATGCCGATGCAAATGTGAACCGCAGTGATCGCGTATCGTCGCTGCTCTTTGGGTGTGTCAAAACTCGACCGAAATTTCGCCGTAGGACGGCAAGACACCACTGATGATGGCGGCCATGCGCGGCCACCAGATTGCGGTCAAATGGCTCCTCAACGCACGTGCCGATGTGGACGTCAGCGACAGAGTACGAACCCTCAGTTTGCCATTCCTCTTAGAGCGCTATTGTTGTAGACTGACACGACGGCGCTGATGCTAGCCAGCGCCAACGGTCATGATCGCATCGTTCAACGCTTGCTTGCCGCCGGCGCCAACGTTCATCTCTGCGACGACGTACGCAGCATATCTCTAGTACAATTGAGTCGTAATATCGTCGGACGCCTGACTGTAGAATGGCCACACCGCACTGCTTTTTGCGTCTCGTCAAGGACACAGTGCCATTGTGCAGCGACTTCAGAACGCGGGAGCCGCCATGGGCCCTGACCATATGGCAACGACCGCCACGACACCCGAGGTACATTGGCCGAACGCCATCATGAACTTTGACAAGCAACCACTTGTCTTCTAGCGCGGTCTTCCGTCTGACAACACCGCTGCCATGCCAAGTGCTCGTGCGAACGATGTTTCCGCTAACAGTCACGAAACCAACGAGGTGGGACACCAATCCACATTTCCCAATTGACAATGGACGTTGTGCAGGAGCGTCCATCGGCACAAAGTTACTTCAACTTTGGCGGGTCAAGAGCTGCGATGCCTCCTGCCAGCACAGCAGAGGAAGAGCCTGTGGTCGCAGATCTCCAAGCTCGTTTTTCCTTCTTCGCTGCATCCGAGTAAGACTCTAAAAACACGATCGAGTGCGCATGGAGACGCACTCGTAGCACGCACGCCAGCGAAGTCGCTCCCAACCGCAGACGAATCGTGCGTGCCAAGTCGAGACGATAATCCAGCTGATGATTCCAATCCCAACAAACGGTCGCGACGACAGCGTGCATGGGGCCATTATATACATGAACGAATCAATGTATGACCTTTCTATCAACGATTCCTTGTGCTTTCGTATGGTAGATAGCAAAGTCGGCTTGGCGCCAAGACGTCGATGCTGAATCTCATGGAACGATATCCTGCCACGTAAAGACCTTGCGAATAGTAGGTGGAGTGCATATGATAAGAATTACATTTTCATTATCAATGTGAAGTCGCAAATTTAGGAATATGACAAAACACAACGCACCAATCGCATCGCAGGGTAGTCACGCTATTATTCTCGACATGTTGCTTGTACCACTAGAGCGATTTTGCAAGGGTGAAATGCAGGAATGGAGCACGTCGTCACATGTCGCATGCGCGCGTCGGAT